ATTTCTACCTCCTTCTCCTCCTCCTGCAGCCTGGGCTCATCGTTGGTTGTCTACAGCCTCGGCCGCCGATCCGTGGCTCCACAATCTCCGCGAGATCGCAACTGATAGAGCAATGATGTGTAGCCTGGATGTGGATGTGGAGCTAGAGCTCTAGCTCCAACCTCAGGCTCAGCCTCAGTCCCCAATGCCCAGGCCAATTCGCATACTCCAGTTTCTGCTTTGTTGGTTTTTGGTTTTCTTTTTATTTTGCCTTTGCCTTTGCCGTTGTCTTTTGTTTTGTTTTTTGTTTTTTTTTAGATACCATTTTTGGAGCTCTGTGTGTCGTCTCGTCTCTGTCGGCACAAAGTGTGGCGTCTCTCTCCCGTTGGCCTGGCACCAGCATGTTGGTGGAAATTTATGTCATCCCTTGTTGTCGTGTTGAATCTTACGATGACATTTCCAACATAATTTAAGCCCACGCATGCCACCAGAGCAACAAAGAGAGAGAGAGAGACCAGAGCAAGGCAGAGAGCGAGAGATCTACTCACATGGGCAGAGGAGGTGACTGGAGACATCCTCCAGCATCAGCATCATCATCCGCTTTTTGAGCTTTTGGTAATGGGTGTTGAATGGCGTGGCCGCATCTCCAAAGACACAGAGACACTCCGTTGTGTCCGCTGTCCGCTGTCCGCTGTCCGTTGTCTCTGGTGTCCGCTCTGTCTCTGCCTCTTGGATCCTCTGTCTGCCAGTCTGTCTGTTGGCATTTTGGCAACATTGGCGGCGTTGACGATGACACCAGCTCTGGGATCTGGATCCGGCTTTGCAGCCTCCAAAAGACATGACTATAAATTTGTACCATGCGTGGATGGTTGAGGCTGAGGCCTGAGCCTGAAGTTGATGCCTGGATGTAGACTGAAGACTCGAAGACTTGAAGACGAGGCGTGGAGTCGTGTACAAATCGTTGGCATTGTAATTTAATGTATCAATTGCTTTGATTTGCCAATTTCAATGCTCATGGAGTGCGTCGGAGGCAAAAGCTGCGCTGAGGCGACGGAGGCAACAATCGGCACGAGCAAAACCTGAGCCACAGCTTCAGCTAGCTGAGGTCTGGAGCAGCACTTGAGGCTTGATTAGTGTGATTTAGTTACAGGCCGTGTGCCAGGCGCATGACACAGAGCACCACAGAGGTTTAGTCTCTCTCTCTCTCTCTCTCTGCTAAGTTTGGTGCATGCCGCCGACTGACTTACATTCAACATCCCGTTGAACGTTCGATGCCTCTTGGATGCCTCTTGTAGTTTGCACAATATTTGATTCCATCAGAAGAAGACGAAGACGAAGACGAAGACGAAGAGGGGCATGGCTCGGCATGGCATGGCATGGCATGGCATGGCACCCGGGGGGGTTCGGGCACTCAGGATAGAGGGTGGTTAGGCCCACTGTGCGCGCAATTTGCTACACGAAACTGTGCCAAACATCTGCGCCTTTAGTACCCTTTGGGGTGATGGCCAGAGCTGGCTGCCGCATCGCCGGAGTAGGAAATGAAAACATCTGCTGACTGATTGCCCCCTGGTTGCGGCAACAACCACACAAAAATCAAGACAGAAATGAGGATCGAATGGAGCGAACAACGAATGGGGAATGCTCTTTGTGGAAGAGGGTTTCGGCACTAGCATTGCTGACAATCATCACTCTCTGATAAGCGATTCAAAATCCAAGAAAATGTGGCATAATGCTTCCAAAACTCACACTGAATTCTGAGCCTGTTTTCAGCTTCTTTCAGTTATAATTTCTCAATGAAAAATCCTCAGAAAAATTGTCATAAATATTACATTAAAACCAACTCACAGTTAATGAACTCCCCGTTCTAGGGCACTTGAAAGCCAAAAGTCTGCCCAATCATTCAGCCAAGTTATGAACTACAGTTAGCTGAAGTTTTGGCCGACTGCCTGCCTTGACTGGCTGAGCTATATAGGTCTTCATGGATCAATGGGATACGCGTGATATCCTTCGGCTAGATTCTGTTTGCTGCTCTGCGCTTTTCACGTCTTCCGTTTGCCCGATTTCGTTGGCTATAATTGTGCCATTAGCTGGCTTGGCTGTCTGGACAGGGGACTGGGCTCCACTCGATTGCAGTACTCCCCCTCCGGCTGCACCCTTTGCGCCTCCCCTCCTGCTTGGCTTTGGCTTTGGCTTGTGTCTACATTTGCATCCGTTTAGGTAACCATTTTTTGTGTTTCTTATTTTGCTTTTTGCCTTTCGAAAGTCGCATTTAACGGTCCCTCCTAATGTGCGCACTGATGCGCATTCTGTGGTCCACTCCACTCCACTCCACTCCACTCAGCTCCACTCCACTCGGACCACATTCGAAAGAGAGAACTGCTGTCCGCGAGTCTAGCGATCCGTTTCGGCCATGGGTTTTGGGTTTGTTGTCTGTGACTGTGTTTGTGGGCTACAGGATGGGCTCTGTGCTGGTTTGGGGCGTGTAACTGGGGCGCAACAAAGGCCATTTGTGTAACTGGCACATAATCAACAGTTGCTTAGTCCAGGGCGTCATGGGTTCCTCCAGTTCCTTTCGATTCAGGCCACCAAAGCACCCGCTGCTCGCCTCCTTCTAGCCTTTATCCATGCTCGTTATCATAATGTGTTGGCTCATTTGAGGGACTGCAGAGTGGGTGGAGTCATAGTTGTAGCTGGAGCCTTCCATGTGCATCAGAAGCCCGCGCGACCGTGTAATCAGTGAGGTGTGAGTGACCTGGATTTGAATCCGGGCATCGGGCATCGGGGAAAATCACTGTGGCTCGAGCTCGAGCTCGAGCTGCGCAGCTCCCTGTAAGTGGAGAATGTTGCGGCGGCTACTTGATCCTCTCTCATATTAAAAAGCATTTCTTCCAGCCATAAATGGTTTCGGTTAGAAAGGTTGCAAATCGAACCACGTGAAGTGCCTGCCCAACGGCCATTCGATGGCATTCCATGAACTTTATGGATGCTGCCGTGCCTTCGGGGAGGAACACTTAGCAATTGCATCTACGAGTAATTGGTTGCCTAAAGTTGAAAGATGTTTTTTCTTTATGTATGAAATGGCCCAGGGAGGGTGAATTTATTAAATTTATTGGAAGAAAAATAAGGAGTACCTTCCAAGGTGAAAATTGACTACAAATTGGTGGATAAAACTACATTTTAATCCCTCATAAAATTCTCAAAATTATATAGCACTCAAAAGTAAAGAACTATGTTATAAATTCTGAAACTTTCGTCATTCCAGCACACAGCAAAAATGGATACAAGAATGTTCTTAACTTCAGTATTGGAATGGAGTTGAAGCTCGCAATTTCAACCAGGTAAGTCAACCCATTCCAATGTGCAAAATTTGAGTTATCTTCTCATAGAGTTTAATTCAGCTCATTCCAAAATACCTTCTCCAAATCAGCTCAAACTTTATTCTACAATTAACTCCATAGTTTGCCTTGAGCCGCCCCAATCACTCACACTCGTATTCATAAGTATTCACAATCTGCCCCATAATTGAGCAACATGTTGCATGAAAATTGTTCATCCACTTTGAAATTATGCCTTCTTCAATTAACGCCAAGAGATCAATTTTGGCCACAGACTGTGACCAAATAACCGACTAATGTGCCTTGACTAGATTCTTGGAGCCACCACAGCCCAGAGGCACAGACACGGAGTCAGTGGCAGTGGCAGAAACCGAGTCAGGGGCGGGGCATTTTGGATGTGAAACCAATTACCAATTATCTACTGTTTTCTACACAAATTTAACATAATTTGGCCAGTTTTGCGTTCAAATTTGTGGCACAATTTTTGTGTGTGGAATTGTTGGCTGTGGTCAGGGCCAAACCACGCGCCCGCCAGTGTCCGTTCGTCCGTCCGTTCTTCCGTCCGTCAGCTGGGGGGAGACTCGCAATTGTGTGGCCGGGCCGAAGATTATTATTTTGGCTACCAAAATGTATTTCGCATAATCGAAAGTGACCGAACCGCAGATATTCATATTTCAAAGATCTTTTGTCTGCTGCACGAGTAACAGTCGCTGGTCGCTGGTCGATGGTCGATGGTCGATGGTTATGCGCGCACAGGTTGCCCGAGTTGGCAAAAAATGATTGATGCCAATATCCAAGCGCTACTCCGGCTAATACAATTTAAATTTCAGTTAAAGACAAAAGACCAAACAAAAGCAGCCAAAAAATCAAAGAAACGAAGAGGCAAAAGTAGCAAAAACAAAAAATGAAAAGTATTCATGGATAGATCTCATAGTTTTAACCGCATTTCGCCGAAGGCGTAACACACTCTAAACCGGAAGGGTAATTAACTCGCGTTTGCCGATCACGCCTTTGCATTCAGATCAACCAAAAAAAAAAAAAAACACAGCTACAGATACAGTACGAACCGGAGATGGATGGTTCGATGGATGACTTGGGTTGGTTACCCAGATGGATGGCTGACTGACTGACTGGCTGGATGCCTTGACTTTGGGTATATTAAAAAGCTATAAGTTTCGGGTTTCGTTTTTTACTTCTACTGTTTTTTTTTTTACTTGCTTGCTTGCTTGCTTGCTCCAGCTCTGTGCCAATGATTAATAATATGGCAAGTCGTTTTATAGGCAAATGCGTTCACAAATTATGTTTGGCTGGGGCTCGGGCCAGGATTGATGGGTGTATAAAGTCTTCTTTTATGCGGTAATTGAGTGCAGATGGACCAACCTTTTTCAATGGCTTATTATTATGCCCACAAAGTGTGTTCGTTTTTGTTTGTGTGGTTTTTGGGCCACATAAATGAAGATATTCATGGGGAAATTAAAGGTTAAGAAAATTAACTCTGATTTGAGTTGTGTAATTTCTGGGCATTTTCCAAGTAAAAGAAATTATGCTTTGATGTGATTGTTTCATTTATTGATTTTTTTTCATTTTTCATAACGATCTTTTTCCTGGGTTTTCCATATACATACACAATATATAATAATAATAATAATAATAATATATAATTAAACGTTAAGTAAATGTTATAAAATTGATTTTGTTTTTGTGTGTGTTTGGATGTTTTGTTGTTGCTTGAGAATTGCATTAATTAGCTCTATAAATATGTTAAACTTACAGCGAAATATATTTGTATACACAATCGAAATGTTCGTAAAGATCAATTAGTTAAGATCAAGTTAGGATCTTCCATTGTATAGTATGTAGAGATAGTATCTATGTAGTATTGTATGTACAAAGGGGCAATTAGCTACAATTAAAGGTGGTTTTAGTAGGTGATAGATCGATCGTACATATATATATTTATGGTTTAGTATAAAGTTTGACTGAAACATGAGGCTTTCCCTTTTTAATCCGTAATATCAGCTGTCCGTACTCTATACCTTTATACTGTATGCTTCACCGTCTTTTTCCATTGATTGCATAGCTAACGAATAGTTTCTCCTTCCTTCTCTTCAAACATTTTACATGGTTAAGTGATTTTGTGTTGCTTAAAGTTTAAATTCCCTCTCGGAGGCACGCTTAAGTAAGAGTTTAAAGTAAGTTTTTCCAATGCCCTAACAATTCAACAACTTGGACTGCTCCTCCCCTCCGCCACTTCAAGTGCTCACTGTTATGGCCTTCGTGTTGCTGTTGTTATTATTATTGTTGCTGTTGCTGGTGTTGTTGTTGCTGTTATCCTTGTCCAAATTGACAGACTGACGCGTGGACACGGACAACTGATCATCGCTGCCTGCATACTCCTCCGTGTCGCCATCGGCACCGCCCAAACTGTTCGGCGTATAGACGCGATTCATGAACGTACGAATCTCATCGAAATACTCATCCCGCTCTGCTTCTGCGGAACTTGGGGAATCCCGGAAGTCGCCAAAGCCACCGCCCGTGCCATTGGCATCCGCCTCGTGCTTCTTCACGTGTCGATCGAGATTCGTTTGCTGGCCAAAGCAGCGATCGCACAGCTCGCAGCGGAAGGGGCGCTCCTTGTTGTGGATGTTGCGGACGTGGCGCTGCAGGTTCGAGGAGATGCTGAAGGCACGGTCGCAGTACTTGCAGGAGTACGGCTGCTCGCCGGTGTGGGTGCGCAGGTGGCGCGTGAGGTTCGCCGAGCGGGGGAACACCTTGCCGCAGAACTTGCAGGTGTAGCGGTCCTTGGTCTTGAGGGCGCTCGGGGAGCGGCCACTGGCACTGGTGGCGTAGCGCAGAGCCTCGCGGAAATTCACGGGCGGAAGCGGCCTGGTCGAGGGTGTCGAGCAGCCCTTGTTGCCGTTGGCTGCTCCTGCTGTCAGCATCGCCTCAATATTTGGCCGTCCGCCCGTTGGGCATAAAAAAGGAAACGTGCGCTGTGAGAGTCCGGCCAGGGCCCGCGATCGGTAGATCTCCTCCAGCAGCAGCGGATGCAGTGGCCGCGGACAGGCCATGGCCGCCGCTGTGGCAGCCTCAGCCGCTCCAGCGGCCACCGCTGCCGCCTGTGCTGCTGCCACCGCTCCCTCCGACATGCTGCTCATCTCCCCACCCGCACTCGTGGGCGGCGATGGCGATGGCGTGGGTCCTGGCGAGGCACTGGGCGTTGGGCTGCTTCCTTTGTAGGACTGCCGCGAGGTGGAGGATTCGCCGGAGCTGTGGCTCTTGCGGCTCTGCTTTGTCGGTGGCTCTGCATCGGCATCCTCGTCGGGCAGAAACATGAGCGGCGAGCCAGGCGACTGACTGCGGTACGAGGTAGAGGGGAAACGCTTGCGGCAAATGGACAGATCGAGCGGCAGCTCCGAGGTGGGTTTCTCCGTCGTCGTAGAGTCCGTGGGCGGTGGCGTGCTAATGATGTCAATGGATTTCTGCAAATAAAAGAGGGAAGATTAGTCTCCATTTTGGGAGGATTCTCTTTGTGTGGGACTTACCCTATCATCCTCAGCCTGCTGCTGATCGGGCGAGCTCTCCCGCTTGAGCTCCAGCCGCTCCTCCGACTTGAGTTGCTTTTTCGATTCTTCTGGCTCCATTTTCATGTCCCTGGACTGCAGGTCCTCCTCGTCGTCGTCCTCTTCGGAAACCTGCAACAGTGGCTCCGACTTGAGCTTCTTCTCTTCGGGCGTGGAGCCGCGTTCCGCCTTCGCCTGGTGATGCTCCTGATGGGGCGACTCTCCGCCCTGCTGTCGCTCCAGCTCCAGCGCGAAGGGATGATGGCGGAAGGCAGCGGCTGCGGCGGCATTGGGCGAGCTCATGGGTGGCAGGCCGTGTCCCATGTCCATTGGTGGCTTCGGAAAGAAGAGCGGGAAGTTGGCAGCCCTCAGCGGGCTCGAGGGGAAGATCCCAGGGAGTCCGTAAGGCGGAAATCCTGGGAAGAACGGCGGTCCTGGGCGGAACATGAGGAAGGGGTTTGGTGGCGTTGTCATGGCGGCAGCAGCAGCCGCAGCAGCAGCAGCAGATGATCCCGATTCGCCCTGAGAGTCGCTCGATGGTCCCTGACCGGACTGACCGGAGGTTGAGGTGGCGTTCAGTGGATGCTGGTGGCGGCCCAAAGGTTGCTGGTTGCGGTACGAGCCCGTGGAGTCGCAGAACTTCTTGTGCTTCGAGAGCGAGGTGACGGTGCTGAAGCTCTGGTTGCACTTGGAGCACTTGATCTGCATGCGACAGGTGGCGTGCATCCGCTTGTGCCGGCACAGATTCGAGAACTGCGTGTACGCCTTGAAGCACACCTCGCAGGCGAAGGGCTTCACCGAGGAGTGGATGTGCTGGTGCTGCTTCAGACCCGACGAGGTGCCAAATGTCTTGCCGCACTCCGGACACGGATGACAGCGAGCACCGACGTGGTAGGCGCGAATATGCCGCTGTAGATTCGATGGGTCACAGAATACCTGCAAAAAGAGACAGAGAAACGATCAGATCCGAGACAATGATTGGTTGGTGTTGGGAATGGGTTATGGTTATGGTAATGGCTATGCCTTGGCTACTCTCAAAGCTGGAAAGGCGCAATTGTTTCTGCCAGTGAAGCGTTTTCACTACTGATCAGCATTGATCTGGTTCCAGTTTCATTCCAAATGAAATGAAATCAAATGAAATGAAACTGAAATTAATCAATCATCTGTTCGGGTCTGGGTCTGGGTCTGGTGCCTGGCTGTTGCCTGCTGCTGGCTAAACGGATCTCGATGTGTGCTGTGCTGCCTAGACAATGCCCTGGCGACGACGCTCTCTGAGATTACGCAAAGGTAAGCAGAGCACAATCCACCCACTGAAAGCAGCAGCAGCGGCAGCAGCCAAACACCTTCGTCAATTATTAACATCAATTGCTACAATTGTCATTGCCCGGCCAGGTCGGGCCCATCTAAGCCCCTGAAGCGCCTAGCGAATGGGAAACAGGGATGGAGAGAAAATAGATTATGTTGTGGCCAAGTGACTGTGCAGTGTTGGTTAAGCATTTGGGAGAGCGGTGCAGTGCTGGAGAGGTCAGAACAGTGGTCTAAGTTAAGTTGCAATGCAAATTGCGATTTAGTGCAAGGGTAGAAGAAATATCTGGAGGGAAAACATGACTCTGAAGAGAGTGTTAATACATGGAATTGGAATACAATTACCATATTTAAAGCTCTAGAGAGGATGTTGTTTTGGCAGTCAGGAATGAATTTGAAACAAGTTTAAGAGAAAGGGTAAAGTATTCCTCCAAAAAGTATCAATAAAAAAAACAGTGACAACTTGCTGCTCCTGTGACACGCACCCACAATTCCGTGACTTTTCCAGCAGCCCTAGATTATAGCCAAAAATATTCAAACCCAAGCAAGTATTTTACATTGCTGGATGGTTTGATGGTTCGTGGGCAGGGGGCAGGGGGCAAAACGCAATGACAGATCGGGCCAAAGAAGAGGATGCGGGGGAGCAGAGAAGCGGGAAGGCACAGGCATCCAGTTTTATATATGTTTTTTGTACCCACTTCAAACTTGATTTCGGTCAGCAGCCGCCTCCACCCGCGCTCTGGAGCTGCCTTTTTACGAAACTGTTATGCCTAATCATGCTGTCATAATGCGCTACGAATTCATATCAAACGATGATCGAGGCAGCGCAGCCTTTTTTGTCTATGGTTATGAGACTCCAACTGGAAGAGAGCGAGAAGGGAATGAAACGGAACGGGGCACTGAGCTACACAAAAGGCAACGGTAGAGCGGATGAGGGAGAGAGAGGGTCAAAGAGAGGCTGAAGCTGCTGCTGCTGCTGCTGCGGCGACATACAAGAATAGCTCGTGCTATAACTACATCAAATGGATTAGATTCAACTACTCTCCAAAAAGGCGAAAAACGCCACAGAAAAGACAACGACAACAACGACAGAAACGACGACGATTACAACTACAGCAACGACGCTGGTGTTACAGGCCACAGAGAGCTTTCAAACAAGAGCCACAACTTAGAGATGAAAAGCAGTCGAAGCAGGCGGGCAGGCGGGCAGGCAGCCCCTGGTGGGAGATAGGTGTAGGTGTTTTGGCATTCGGGCAGAGCAGCCGTAGCAAACGAAGCAACCGGGGTGGGTCGCAGGAGAAGCAGCACTCGCACTCAAGAGTGCCGCGAGAGGAGAGAGAGCAGAGATCTAGGCGGCGGTTACTGTTGTTGTTGTTGTTGTTGTTGCTGTTACTCTTGTGGAATGCGATTGTCTCGTCTCAGGTTGAGGGGTGCGGTGTGCGGTGTGCGGGATGCAGAGTACGGAGTGCGGAGTACAACCAGCTCTTGGTTAACGTACGTGGGGTCAGTTAGGGCGTTGCCAGTGGGATAATGCCTGAAGATGGGATCACTCTGGTAGCCTAATGGAGTTACGACTACTGGATAGAGTCTACCTTTGGCAAAAGGCTGGGCTATATAGGAAGCCTGGAATTAATTAATGCCTGAAGATGAGTTCTTGTTGAATAAGAAATGAATAAGTGACCCAGGGACCTAAGGAAATTGTATGGCAATGTTAAACTTGGGAAATATTTTCATAGCTGTGATATGTTCATGCTGGAATAGGTTTTTCTGTAATTTCTTCCCCATTCAGGTCTGTGTCTAACAACTTCCTACAATACATTTCGGGAAACCATTACCCATGGCCCTCTTCAAACACCGAGTCACAGCTCAACTGTGCCTCATCACTGGGGCTGGCTGGCTGGCGAGGGTCCGTCGAGCCTAAGCCCGACAACAAAACCTTGTAGATCCATGGCAAATCCCTTTTGAAACGCTTTAAGCTTGCTGCTTAAAACAAACAAAGCTGACAGCTGCAGAGACCCCGTTTTGGTTTTGGTTTTTGGTTGCTTGGTGGGCCGCCTGTCAGGCGATGGCCGAAGAGAGTGTCTTGGATTTGGAAGCCCAGCGAAAGTACCGTGGTGTGCCCTTTCCCGTAAAGATCGATCATCATTTGTTTAAGGCCGAGTGGCTCCCGTTTATGTCCATGTAGGAGTACAGCTATCGAAGGGAAAGGGGTACACCATACCACAATGCGTGCTACTTACATGCCACCGAAACAATTACAGAGCGCTAAGTAAACTAACTGTAATGCCCCCTCCGCGTGGAGGAGGGGGGACAGCGATTGAAATACCGTTCGATTTAGAAATGGAAAAAAGGGAAAAGCCAAAAGAAAAAGCCCCAATCTGAGGCTGTAGCTGAAGCTGAAGCTGAATCTCTGTTTCTATGGCTGAGCAATGCGACCACAAGATTGTAATCAACATGCCATTAAAACATCTTTGGAAGATGTCGAAGCCAGCAGCAGAGTCGTCGTCTGCGTCGTCGATGACAATGACGAAGTGCGACGCATGAAACGAATCGTTCGATGGATGGATGGATGGATGGATGGTTGGATGATTGGACGGATGGCTGGCTGGCTGGCTGGATAGATGGATGGCTCTGACTCGAGTACCGGGCCCTTTAATTTCGCTTTGGCATTCAAATGCAGCCAACGAAGATGAACACAATAAACAGCTTCAGCTACAGCTACAATTTCTATGTAGATCGAAGATCGGAGATCGGAGGGATCGGACAGTCGTTGGACTGGAGTGGGGGGCTAACAAAGTTTCTTCATTACCATGGAGAGGTCTCTTAAGTGTTTTGGATGAGTACACGCCCTGATTTCGTATTGCAAGTAAGCCGTGCCAGCGCGTGCGGCTGTACAAGGGACAAGCAGAGAGAGGGTGGTAAGGGCAGGGGAGGGGAGTTGGACACTCTCCAAACGCTTACTTAAAAGCCAAGTTAGCGGCAAAGCGACGGCGGCAGTCGTTGAAGCGCCTCCGGCTATTGATCTGCTAGAAATCAAAAGTCTTTTTATGTTTTCCAGCCACCAACAGCACCAGAGCTGATACAATAATTAATGACTGGCCGATATCGTATTGGCATGAGCCTCAAGATGACCGAACACCAAGCGACTGAAGACTGAAGACCGAAGGTTGCCGATCCCAGTAGCTACGAGTATATGGGCAGATAGATATCTACAGCAATTGAATGTGATCTATCTTCAAACAATAGCTTTGAATATCTGTGATCTTTGAGCTCTATAGTTGTTAGAATTTTTAACTGATTTTCTGAAGCTGGCTTCCATTTCTGGCTCTAGTTCTGCCTAATTAATAGAGTTTTTTCGCACTTACCTTGCTACAATTCTCGCAGGAATATTTCCGTATATTATTGTGGGATATTGCCTCGTGTTTGATCAACAAAGGACGATGGCTGAAGCGCTGGGAGCAGAGTTTGCATGGGAATTCGTCCTGCTTGAAATGATGGGCGCCCACCAGATGATCGTCCAAGCTGCAATCAAAGTACAACAACAAATTAATACATAAAATTAGACTAAAAGGAAAGGGAGTAGAAATGTGTGGGCTTTGGCATTCCTTTAGTCAGTCTCTTGTCTGTTCTTTCTTATCTGACTAACTGTCATCAGCAAATGAAATTAGCATTGTGACATTTTGGGGGCTTGGGCTTTGCTTTGAGAACTGCTTGCTTGCTGCTTCCCAATCGCCGCTCTCAATCAGAGTCATGTGCGGCATTTCACACGCCCCGAGGCGCCTTTGTTTGTTGTCCAACTGGGAGTACGCCCCCCGCGACTCCACGGGCGTCAATTAGTCAAATGATGTTCAATATTTAATATGCTTCGAGATGATAAGAGATCTGGGGTTCGAGCCACAGTAACAGCTGTGGCCAATGAAGGGACGGACGACTTTGTGTCCTTGCAGAGCTTTACAGAGCGATCCTTATCGCATGGGTCGTGTGTGTAGGTGTGTGTGTGTGTGTGTGTGTGGGTGGGTGGAGCGATGTCGACAAGAGGCGGCAACAATTTCGTTTTTCTTTATTTTCCCTTTATTCTGTTTTTTTTTTTGTCATCGTCATGGAAGAGTTGACGATATAGTCAGGACAGTCCGCAGTTGGCAGTCCCATTGCCATCCCAAAACCCTCGCTCAATCCCAGTCCCTGCCCGGCCTGCCTGCACTTGAAGTGTGGGCGTATGTTTGCGTTACAACAATAGGTGGAGACCAGAAGAGAGAGTAGCGCAGAGTACAGGGAAGTGCAGGAGTGAGGAGTGGGAGACTGTGTGCATGTTCGACATCAGATAAATCGGCCAAAAGGCTGGGGCGAGCGTGGACACGCAGACATTGCGGGCATAGCTTCCTTTCCATCATTCGGGACGGGCAGCGGGTCTCGTCTCTCTCTCTCCTCTTTCCTCATGTAAAATTCAATAAATCACACATACAGCAGGGGGATACACTCTCCCACCCACTCTGCTCACAGGCGAGGGAAAAACTGGTACAAGTAAATGCAAGTTTTCCATTACTATCTCAATGTGAGTCCCAAAACCCAAATCAAAGCTCGCTTTTAGCACTTCAACTTAAATATACATTCAAACGAGTATCTATCTATATATCTACTGATATATACAAACAGATAATAGATACACTCCCATGTGTGTTTGTGTGCCATAGAAATGTCATTTGCGTGTTGCTCTGGTTTGTTTTTATTGTTGTTGCTGTAGCTGTTGTTGTTGTTCATTTATTTATTACAACGCAAAACATTTGTAAATATTGAAACAAAACTTTTGCATTAAGTACTTGTACGGGGAGTGCTTGTTGTCGCAGAGCCACTAAATGGGCAGATGATTATACACTAATGGCGATGATCAGGCCACTCAAGTGATGAACTACAGTTTAGGGATGGGACTTACTCAGGCATCGACTCTGACTTGCGATTAATTTAAGCTATTCTAATATTTTGGTATGATTTTGGAGTAGTCACTCGGCAGAGACATGCTAATAGTGTCATCTCTAATCTTTACGCACGGCTCGCTCTCTGAGAGCAGCGAAGCTCCGGCTGTGGGTCCCGTTTACGCTAGCTACCTGCTAAACATCTGCAATAACAACAATCAAGCAAAGAGAGACGCCTGATCTGATGCACTCTCAGAGCTTCGCGAAGGGTCCCGTTCACGCCCGCTAACTGCGCAATATCAGCAATAACAACAAACATGTAAAGAGAGGCGCCTGATTGACTCTCTCTCTCTCTCTCTCTCTGAGCTTCTCAAAAGGGTCACGTTCACGCCCGCTACCTGCTTGCAATTGCTATGCAGAGCGAAACTTTTTGCTTGTTTTCTGTTGCTGCAGTTCTGTATTATTTTACGGTAATCTCCTTATCTCTTAATCTTTAAGCATCTAGAAAAGCCTGCACCTTTATGCAAAAGTATGTTAGTCGTTATTTATCTATTCCTAAACCACAAATAAAAGCTACAAAAAATGAGCAAAAATAGCAACAAACACAAAAACGTTAGGCCGCCTAGAAATTGAAAAAACCCGTACGAACGTACCAAATGCAGGCATTAAACTTCAGTTAACACCTACAGATTGCACATTTGGGTCCATAAAAAACCAATCATGAAACGGGCAAGCCAAAATCAAACCAAAACCAAAACCGAACCCGAAAAGCCAGCCAGGCACAAATCAAGACCAAGACCATTTCAATTCATTTCATTCCGTTTGATTAGCCCAAAAGCCTGCCTGCCGAGTGTGCACTCTCACTTTCAATTCAGAGAGTCCACGCCAGATTCGAGTCGCTCTTTAATGGCACTTTTATTGGCCGCACTATTTATCGCCATCAAGTTTTAATTAAGATCTCCCCGCCGCCAAAGCACTGGCCACTGCATTAGGCGGCAAACAGTAGATCACAGAGAGCAAAGCAAAGCATTTATCAACATTTGGGGAATACTTTGCACAGTTTTTTCTTTTTCGTTTTTTTCTAAATTTTCGTTTCTCATTCTACTTAGATTTTATGAGCAGCTCTTTATTTGGTTGTTCGCTGCGCACCCATAATTCTTTTTTGGGGTAAGTTGGAAGCTAATTGGTGGCTTGTTTTTTGGCGGCGGTCTCTGGGGTTTCAAAAATTTGATTTAGATTATTGGCGATGCTGCTGCTGTGGCTGCTGGTAAATGCCAAAGCAATTTGCAGAGATGCAGACATTCTCTCCCACAAAAAAAAAGCAGCAAAGATTGCGAATCAGCGGGGAGTGGGTGATCGGTGGGAGATCTCTAGGGGAGGAGGGGCAATACTTTGATCACTCACCGTTCTAAATCCGGATAGACTTTATCACAGACCTCACAGCGGATGTCGAAACCGTTTTCGTCGTCTGTGAAATCAATATCGCCTTGACTGATTAGCGACGAGTTTTTCTTATCTTTGGAGAATTCGTCACCACTGTAAAGGGAACCTGAGGGAACAGAGAAGAGGGAGAAATTTGATAAATAAATCACAGAATTCTTATATGTAAATCTCTAGCACACACAACACTCGAACACTCACACGAGATCTTCTTTAATTCCGCGTATTCTTTATTTGATTTATATTTCTAGGATCCTGCACACTTTTTTTCTGTTTTTTATGGGGGGGGGTCAGCACTTGACACAACCGTTCGGTTTCGCGTTTGAGGAACAAGTGTGTCGCTGCAGGAGCATAATGCCGACGAGCTAATGTTTTGTTTGCCCGCTAACAATCTGCGGAAGGACCTGCTGCCCTGCCCGATGAACGAACGCACTGACATTTGACCAACCCTCCCACCCTCTCCTAGCCACATATACCAGGGCAAACACGCAAACACTTAACACAAAATTGGTAGCAGAGACAGAGACAGAGATGGAGAGAGAGACGGAGATGGAGACCAAATCGTGTGTGCACTCATATATAGCACTCGCATAGCTTGACGTTGAATAGATAATTGTCCCGAACGCGAGGTAAATACGAGTAAGGTAAGGTAAGGTCTAAGGGCAGGCCAAGGCAAAGAGCTAAATCACCCCTCCACGTACTACCAAAAGAGCTACTAACTTGGCCAACTCCTGACGGCAGGCCGACACACGATGACAATTCCAAGGGGAAATGACTATTAAAGGTTGAGGAGTAGAGGAGCTCATAGGGTGGGCTCTGGACTGGGCACTCGGACTACCACCAGGTGACAGAGCAAGAGCAGCTAAGGGATGATGGCGATGACCAAAGATTATGCATGCGAACACATCCAAAGGGTCACCGGTGCACCCCCTTAGTCGCTCTCAGATCGGTTCCGTTGGACTGATTTCGTTTCAAAAGTCATATAGCACCTTCCTTGCCCACACACTCGAAACATGGACAACTTTCGCTCGTTGCACGGTGCACGGTGCACGGTGCACAGGTGTTGCCTCTCAAGGCAGCCCACACTCCCACCCTCCACCTACAGTTGTCCCCCGGGGGTGAGTGTTGTAGCTGTTGCCACCCCCTACCCCTGCCCAACATGATGAATATATATGCTCTGGCTTTGACGTAATTGCTGTTTGGGTCAAAAGTTAATTTTTCAGCGTGTGCAATATGGTCAAAGAGGGCACCGTCGGAGTCGTTAGAAGATTCCCACGTCCTGAGGAGTAGTTCCTTATGGCCCTGCACTTGAACTTAGAGCTGGGCCACCTTATGGCGGTTCTTGCCGTTGGGTGGGTATAAAGCGTGGGATAGTGGTAGGGAGTCTACACCTAGGGGGTGGAGTAGGAGGCAACTGAGTAGGAGTACCTCCGATGGCAGATGTTGCTCTGTCTAGGCGCTGGAAGGGCTCGTTCTTGGGAAAAGTTTCTTTTGGGAATGTTGTGCAAAATTGAGGAAAACTGGGAAAAGAGGCTGTTATTAGAACATAGAGAAAAGTGGCCAATTTATTCTTAGAATTCTGTCTTGAATATTTGTTTTCGAAACTAAAGAGCTGTAGAAATACTCCTTAATGGTATGAAGAAATTATAGAAAGACTTCCCTCGCACTTTGATCCCTTGACACTTCTGCAGAGAATTTTAACCACAGAAATAAACTACTTTTTGGTCACCTTTTGGTTTTGATTTCTTTGCCAGCTTCCCACACTTAGTCCCAGAATATTCGTTCAATTTATCAAATTTCCTCGCTTCATTTAGCTGCCTGATTCCACCTCCACGTGTCTACCCTTTCAACTCTCATCATTAATTCCTTATCATTTAGCCCTGCCTGCAACAATCCTTTCACGCCTTTCACCAGATCTCTGCCTCTCTCTCCCTCCCCCCAAATCTATCTATCACTCTCCTCGAACAGCTGCTGTCGCTCTCCAAGCGGACAGATTGATTTACTCGCCCAACACGGCTGACAATTCAATGGATCTATTGTCGGGTTCAGGTTTTAAGTCGGAGCAAATCAGGATGCGGAATAAAAGAGGAAACAGATGAAGTATCGCATCGCATAGGTGTTTGGGGCAGGGAGTAAAACTCTTTGACATGCCAATTACATATCACAGAAGCTGCCAGTAGCTGGCTGCCTGGATGCCAAGTGCCATTGGCTGACCCTGAAATGAAGTTTGTACAGCGGCTCGGGGTCTCGCAGCTCGGTGGAGGAGGGGCGTGTTCCTAGTTAAACGGAAGCCAAAACTGTTGACAAATGATTGATTGAATTATTTACACCTTACAACTTGCGACGTTGTTGTTGCTGCTGCTGCTGCAAAATCAAAAGTTAGATCCGCCTGCTAATCGATTTGGCAGCAACAAAAAAGCAACAACCCGTAAAAAAAAGGGTTAGGTCTGTGCCCCTCAGTTGTGTGTGTTTGTCTATAAAAAAGTAGCACTCCTCCTAATGATGCCCAAATTGACACACGATGATCATTTAGCCGAAGACGCGACACGAGACATGGCAGAGTTTTTATTTTTTTCTCGTTTGATTTCAATTTTCGATTTCAGTTCTCTGTTGTTGTCGGCTCATTAATCATCCATCCAGCTTTGCTGGCGACAATGTGTCAATCGGAGTACGAGTGTGTGTATCTGTAGCCCCCGTTCCTACCATTTCTGTGTCTCTCTCGGAGTTAGTTAAGATTTCGTTTATGGGCTTGGTTTCGGTGTACTCTTTGGCGTGTGTTCTGCCACCAGATATCCACGTACGAATGTATCTAAATGTGACGCCTGCTGTCCATGGTTTGTGTAGTTGGTTTCATTGTTTGATTGCTCGATTGAAGACTTGCCGCAACTTAAGCCGAAAGCCATCTCAAAATTGTCTTCGGATACATTTATTTTGTTTTTGGGGAATGGTATTTGTTGGTTCTGCTTTTGGGACAGAGGGGAAGTCAAGGTTTGGTCAGAGTTGACATGTTTGTGGGTTGGTTGGTGGCAATGTGTTTTTTGGGGAATGGTTTCTGCGTTTTGAAGCGTCAAGGAAATGAAAAGGCATCGTTTTCATTGAATTAAAGTCTCTAGATTGATTTGATTTATGAGCTATATTATTTACGGCAGTCCTTGATCGTTTATAAAGGTTTTGTGGGCATGAACTTACAATATAAATTACTTTCGGAACTATAAATAAGATCATTGTTTGTGGAGCTCATAGATAGCTCTTTTGTCGATCAAATGTGACGGAAACTCGTTAAGTTATTTCGTTATTTAAAGAACTCTTTCTAGCTCTCTGGCAAATATGTTTTCATTTATTTCCCATGCTTTACGTTACTTTTAGCTCCCTCTACAAATGCCCATCCCACTCCTCCCCACAACATTTGCATTTTTCCGCCTGAAAATTCCCATAGTCAACAGAACCTTCATTATAAATTCCAAAAACTGAAAATGTAACGGTCGAAAGTAGATGGAAAAAGAAACTCCCTACCAGCGCGATCTTTTGCTACCGTTTCAACCACACTCCTCCCGCTGCGATCGCTCCTTTGCCACCTCTTGCCGTGTCGCCGTGTCGCCGTGTCGCCGTGCCACCCCCGTGCTGCACAACGATCGCAACGTTCGCTTGCTGTAACTTATCCTTGTGGCTCGACTACACCCATCTGGTGGGCTCAAGGACCTTGTCTTCTGGCCTGAGTTTCCCTGCCGCTGCTCAGCAGACCGTGAGCTCAGAGAAAACTTGTCCGAAAATACGTTAAAAAAAAAGTAGAGTCAAACGGGGAGTCGAGTCGGAGTCCTGCAGCCCGATTCACAGGTGTCCGCCGGGGAAAAGCAGAGAGCAGAGAGCAGAGAGCAGGGAGTGAGGTGGAAGCTCTGTTTAGGGTTCGGGAGTGGTTTTGACAGGACTGTGACTTAGTCCCTGACTGAGGACTGAGACTGAGTTTCAGTTTAATTGAAAAAATGCTCAAACTATGATCCCCAGCCAGATAAGCTCACGGGACAAGAGGCATATGGAAATGTCCATTAAATTCATTAAATATTCAAATTTTAAGCTGACTCCTGCAATGGCAACAGAATTTTTCGTGAGATTTAAACTGTCCGATAAACAGGGAAAAAGAGTGTGAACAAAGGCCAGACAGCGGAGAAGGCACATAGCCAAATGAGCCATAGCCATAAATCCCACATGTTTATAATCAAACACGCCTCGGAAAAAAAGGAACCCAGGGGATGCCATGCGATTCCATGGGTTGCATGGGATGTGGCAGTGTCGAGGCCTGGGATTAGGCTTAAATTGAGCGTGTGCCATTTTGACGCGCATTGCGTATCGCTAACATCATCTTTACTGCCGGGCTAGGAGACCTTTTGTTTGATGATGGATCTCTAATGAAATTATCAAACATTTTAATAACAAATGAAAACATGTGCGGTTGCCTCAGATTGCATGGGCGCATGCGCAGAGAGCACACGGCAAGGGTGCTATAATAGGGGTGGAAAAATAGGGAAGCTGTGTGTGTGTGTGTGTGGCACCCTCATAAGCTGTCGTCGGGTGCTGCTGCTGCTGCTGCTACTGTATCGAGGGGATCAGATTGCAGGATCTGCCGTCGCTCGTGCCACAGACCAACATTTCTGTTAATTGCCCTGCGCACCACCACACACACAGCTACTTATTGGACACACCAGCATCACATTCAGGGGGTTTGTATAGTGATATACGTAGTGGCAGCACTCACCATTATCTCGATCGGAGCGATCATCGCTGGGTAATGAACTTCCCCCACCGCTGGTGGCTCCCGAGGCGACTGCTGCCGCTGCTGCTGCTGCTGCGGCGGCTGCTGCTGCCGCCAGGACACCGCCGCCGGCCATGAAGTTGTCATTGATCTGGTACGGTGTCTTGGGACGGCCATCCACAACCATTTCACTGCCTGCATTGATATACCGATTCGTTTCGTACCACAACTGTTCGAGCGGGTGAAAGGGGAGACAACAAAAAAACGACACAAAAAATGCATTTAATAATTGTTAAAAATTGTCCCAAAAATGAAGTGAGTGCCTGCAGGCACGTGGCCCATGCAGTCATGTTGGTACTCACACAGCTGCCAATTATGTAATTGTGTAGATTAGCCTCTTCGATGCAATCGTTGTCCTTCACGGAGCGAATTTTCTTCAGCAACGTCGACACTTCCGATGTGGGCTCGAGCCAGCCATTAAAGTTGGGTCCAGCATGGGCCTGCATAAAAAGAACGATTTTCCCATTAATATTAAATTCTATATATTTTTTTAAATGTTTTTTGTCTTTTTTGTATGATTTTTATCAAAATTTAATCAAAAATGTGTTTATCGTCAGTGCCGCCATCTATGGTGGTGGCTAGGCAAACTGTGCTATTTATCACGAAGTGTCTTTGCTAAGCCAGTGCACGAACCAACTGCAGCTGTTATACAGCATGAAATGTAGATATTAGCATGTAAAATGTAGGCTGCGAGTGTTTTGTGGACACTTTTTTAAATAATTATTAAAAATGTTTGCGACCTAATGGAAAGTATTGTTCCTTGTGAATACATAACTGCCAGTTCCAAGCAGAATTTGAATTTCCTCTTTTTCATAACATGTGCCCTGGAGGCTCCTGCAAATAGGCATTCAAAATTAAACTCCAAGAAAGTTCCTACATAACATCTAAAACTATTCCATCTTCTTTAGTGCATGTCAGGCCCCCTTTTAGTGCCACTCATAACTTAACCATCTTTAACGACCCATTATGCACATTATCCGCACATAAAGCAAAACGCAGCAAGACATCTTCAACGACTTTGCCTCTGCCTTTTGCCGCCCTCAAGTCTGCCCCCACAACATCAAGGTCAATTACTGCACAGCAAGGGAGAAAGATAGAGGGGTCGGGGGCGGCTGCAGCAGCATAACAAAACAGCAAAAAAACCGCCGACGGTTTTTGTGTACAAAATAAAAGCAGCGGCGGCGCCAACTGCAGCAACGCAAAAAAAAGGCAGCTAAAAGGCAGCAGCTAAAATACGCATAATTTAAGCAAATCGTTAACTGCGGCTGCGGCGGCGGCGGCGGCGGCGGCGGCTCGGCTGCCAATGGGCAAACTGCCTTAGACGTTGTGACGCCAAAAGTTCGGGGGGCGGAACAATAACAACAGAAACCACACCACAAACACACACACACACACACACACACACAGGAAAATCAAATCCGAAATCGAACAAGCTGAAAATACAGGGTTCGAAAGTCGAAGGTGAAGATACACTTGCAGAGAGCGATTGGGAGAGGGAAGAGGAATTTCCAGAATAAATACTCTACTGTTGAGTATTTACTTCTTATTTGCGGTTATCAAATGAATTTGTGGAATAGATTTGAGTTCAGATATTGGTTTCAGCGAATTCTTAGAAACATATCAGTTTTGGTGGGACTATCTGTGATTTCTATTCTGTAGAATTTTCAATTCAATTTTAGCTTCGAAATAAATTTGCTGGCAAAATCGATGCCCTTTTCGCGCGCCTTTAATTCATAACTAAACTCCCATCAAAAAGCGCAATACCTTCCCTAGACAGAGTATGCAAATCAAACCGAAAAACCACAATTGTTGTTGACTGAATGACTTTGCGTATGCGCAACGTTGAAGCCGCCGCCGCCGCCGTTGCAGCCACAGCCATGGCCACCGTCGTCGTCAGCCTCTTGTCTATCAAGTCATTTGGAAAAACGGCATTTTACAGTTTATTATTAAGTGGTATACGTACACGTGTGTGTGTGTGTGTGTGTGTGCCACGTTGAGTGGGTGAGTCTGGAGTGTGTGTGTATTTAGGAGAGAGCAGCAGGAGAGCCTCCTGCCATACTTCCATATGTGCTGCACGCTCCAAAAATTAAGTTAACAACGTTTCAAGAGGCCCCTTGCCCCGTGGCATATGCAGGAAAAATGTTCATATATATACCACCACCAACAACAACAAAATTATATAGAAATAAACTTTATATTTGAAGGAGATGCGGCGATGCAAAAAAGGGAGTGGGTGTGGGTGTGGCAGCGGGGCAGACCTCAAGAGAGGCTCGTCAAACAAGTAGGTTGCCCACCGTCTGCGTTTGATGTTGCAGAAGGGACAGAAGTTATAGTTGCAATAAAAATAAATATGTATAATTGGCAGGAAGGGTTGCACGATTTGTTGGGCATCAAATGGCATCGGAGATACTTTCAGGTTGGAAATGAAGGTACGAAGGAAGAGCTGGGATGACTAAACACAGAGAGCGCGTGGTTTAAGAGTAGAAAAGATGATTTGGCAGCATTTCTTTCAGCATTCGAATCAATCGAATTAAAGTAACTATTTAAATATATACCAGAAGGTGCGAGCGTTATCCTCTATGCTCTTCAAAACCCTTTACCATGCACTTTGTCAAAGGTATTTTTCTCCTAAATATTCTCCCATAAGGCATTCTCCCTGAGGAAGAATCATTCCCATACTGTCAATGGATGTTCCTCCACCAATCTACTTCTCTATCAAACTCGCATCACAGGTTACCATAAACAGTTCTTGAACAGCTGCTTTAATCCAGAGAGAGAGAGATACAAATCGGACATGTGAGATCGTTTTAAGACACGAATAAATCTGGTACAATCTTTGGGCAAAACTCACATGTCCAGCAGCAACGGAAACTGCAACACGAGACAGTCACTAAAAACAAGATGCAATCATCAGATGCAGACTCACAGGAGGATATATTTATATATAGAAGGATCCATAACAAGACTATGCCAATGATTTGCAGTGCAAACTGCCGACAATTGCCCTGGGGTTCCACAGTTTGCCGTGTGTTTGTTCGGCTATAATCCCCCGGACAGGCATCACACATGTCCTCGCTGCCTATTCATAACTTTATTAAAAAGGAGGCCACAGCAGCAGCCTCCGAGGAGAGGCAGCAAAACATGACACAGTCAATGGGCAAGGAAAATATTTACGCGCCAGAGATAATCTCAAAGTGTTGGGTTCACACACCGCACACAGCAGATCGCACAGATCGCACAGATCGCAAAGTAGAACTGGCTTCGAATTGCCAGAGATCTACGAGGATAGAGGATCAGGCATGGAAACGGTAGCAGATAGAGAGAGAGAGACACGGCCAATGTATCTGTCAAAACGGAAATGTGAACGGGAAAAGTGCGCTTGATTCGAGGATCATCCAGAAATAAAAGGCTGCTCGAAAGGAAGGAAGGACCAGGGAGCAGGCACAGATCGAGAAACGTACAATTCCATTTCAGTTTTTGGTTTATTTTTGCAATTTGCAGTGGCTCGAGTGGCAAATACCTGAATGACAGACAGACAGAGAGACTGAAGGTAGATCCCTTTTTCGGCTACAAATTGTCAACAGGACTAGGCGCGATAATTTGATTGGATTGTCTGTCAGGGGACACAGATATAGAGACACAGAGAGGAGAGGGAATCAGGGGCGCAAAAGTGTCAGTTGACTGACTGACTGACAATCAATCGAAGGGTTTCGTACATCCAGGGACAGCCCAGGGGCTCGTGGTGCCTAATTGGAATCATCAGCCGGCCTCAACTTAAGCCTCATTTAGGGGTACACTTTGTGGATTTTCGTCCTGGTTGCATGCCTCGTCGCGTCCTAGTCCCACAAGGAGGCTAAATTAGCTCTGGCCAGGGATTAAACGCATTTGACTGACAATTGATACCCCAGCTATAGACCCAGTCCCAGTCCCGTCGCTCTGCTAATCAAATCTTTTTGCAATCGTTTGATTTTCTATAGAAAAACACCCAAAAAAACGTACGCGGAGATATTCATTTCGGTTGCAATTTTTTGTCCAATTTTCGCACATAAAAATGGTCTCTGATGGGATTAAATATCCGACGGAAAAAAATGAGGAAAATGCGGTAATTTGAGAATGCCCAAAATGCGGGCACATGTGAAAGGCTTAAGGTCCGAATTCAGGCAAAGGACATTTTTGTGGTGGAAATAAATGCATTTTTTGTTGGGTGGAAAAACGACAACTCAACTGACAGTTGAATATAAACCTTGAGGCTCCATTTAGGCTAGAATTTCCCTAAACAAAATGGGGGCTCGACTCACCTTCCATGCTAGCTGAGGATCGTTGGGCTGATGGCAGAGTGTCACGGGGAAGGGCCCGTAGCGTGTGCCACGCTGCAGATGCGTCTTGGCGTAGACGCCAGTATCACGGATATCCAGATCACAGACAGGTTCACGACGGCGGGCCCACTCCTGCAGGAGCTGCTCCGCCTGGGCCTTATCGTTGAAGAAGTGCTCCATGCTGGAGGAGGCAACGCCAGCCAGCGGCAACGTGGGAGGCGGTGGCTGCTGCCGCTGCTGTTGTAGCTGGTGGTGGTGCTGCTGCTGCTGCTGCTGCTGCTGCTGCAGATGCTGATCTAGTGGGTGATGCTGCTGCAGGTGTTGCTGTTGCTGCTGCTGCTCCAGCGGCGGCGAGGCGGCTGCCGAGGAGGCGCCAGGCGTCTGCGGCAGGTGATGGCGAGCGGAAAAGTCCTCTGCGGGTAGTTGCGTGTGATCCGGCAGTGGACCAAAGGCCGGAGCCCGCGTGCTGAGATCCAGATGATGGTGATGATGATGGTGATGATGGCGCACTACACTCGGATCGTAGTCGTCGCCGTTAGAGCCTGTACGAGGGAGACAGAGAGAGAGAGAGAGATACACAGATTAGAAGTGACTTTTGAGACAGCACTCGAGCGGGCAAGTAATCCTAATCAGCTGGTTGCCTGTCATGTCAGTCAACCCGAAATAGAATAGATACGGATAGGGATAGGGATAGAGAGGCAACCTCAAGTTGCCACGATGACAATCATCGCCCCCAACTGTCTCTGTGCGAGTGATTTTGCAATTGGCTCCACGGTGCAGTGATTGACAGTCTAACGCATGAAGCAAGACAAGAGGGGCCTATCACTTGCCACTCACTCACTCATTCAATGGCTATCATTCATCGTCGAATGTCCATCGCGGGCCTACTACTATCTCCAATCCACAAAACATGTGTCTTATTAGCAGAAGGAATGCCTCCTACTCTGCACCCTATACTGTGTCGTAGATACACTCACATTCACCTGAATTATGGTATCCAGTTACACAGCAACTGCAGCAAATAGCATCTGAATAAATATCCCACGAAAGTATTTTAAATATGTCCAACAGAAGTTTTTCTTTTGCTTTTTTCTTTGGTATGCAATTACACGGCAAACGGTGTGACTTTGTCTCTGACATTCTGTTGACTGAATAGATAGAGCCTTTCTATCGCCCCGAATAGATGAGATATGGAACATCAAATGAAAGTAAAGTCAAGGATAGGTCGATGATAAGTGCGAAACAATCGAAGGATGTAGGTGTAGTGCATTACCAAATTCCCCATTAAAAAAAACTACAAATAAATTCTTATAATCAAAAAAAGAAGGCAACTCGAACCAGACACGCACAAATTACCCGTCGATTATTGATATTTGTTTTACTACTTGTTCGGGTATCTGATATCTGTTGGTGTTGCTGTTGCTTTTACTGGTTTGCTGTTAGGGTTCTTGTCTTGTCCATCCACCTTGTTCGAACACTTGAAACTAAATCGTAATTTGAGCTGTTAGACAAAATATGACAACGCCTGTCCGACGCGATAACACAAAAGAGCCAAGAGCCCAAGAACAGAGCAACCAAGAACCCACGAAACGTTACTGGTTGTGGGTTTGTGGCCCAGTCAATGGTCAACAGCTAGCGGCAGATAAGTATCGGCCATATAAATAACCGACAGGGCCAGAGCAGGGCAAACAGTGCGGTGGAACACAATGAGCTGGTCAAGCCGCGCATTTCGCACATCCTTGAGGATATTGTGGCACACTCTGTGAGTATTTGTGCAGCATCCTGGGCACGAGGTATCAGCATCTCACACCAGCCAGCGAAATGCTTTTGAAGTGCCCCTCGAGTGCCGCGCCCTCGCCTGTCTGTTCTTGCACCTACTCAAGGGTCTACTCATCGCTGATCTGTCCGTCCATCTGGAGTACCTTGCCCACCCACATTCGGCAAGGCTTTGCTTTGGGTTATTTCTCTGTTTTTGGTGATTGGTTTGTTGCCAGCCAGCCAGCCAGCCAGCCATTCAATTATTCACTTTTACTTAAGCACAAGTGTTTTTCTTTTCCCTTTTTTTGTGTGTTTCCATGGGAGCGACTCGTTCCTGAGCTAATTTGTGTTTTTAGGTAATCACATTTGGGCTGATAAACCGTGCCCATAAATGTTTAATTGCAATTGCGAGTTGATAAGTTAGGGATTTTTAATGGAATTAACTTGAAGGGCTGCACAAGCCAAAGATGTCAACAATCTTATCTGCGATTCGCTTTTATTTGGAAAGAGAAAGTCCAGGAATGAATCAATCGGTGGGACAACATCATAGGCACTTGGTTTACTCATCAGCAGCGTTTAATCCTCACTTGTTTCACTCAAATAGATAGTCTTCCGTTTAAGATCTGAATCACTTTTCTGCCAAGTCTCCAGCAATAGTTGCTCAGGCTTTGCCCGGAATACACAGACTGAAGCGAAGGTAGAGCCCTGCGACTGATACTTCGACTTTATTCCCTTTAAATCACGGATACCAGATACCAGATGGGTGGAGCTGCTGCTGCTGCTGGTACCAACCTGATATGACATATCGATCGAACAGCATGATTCCGTTTATAGATTTTCACTTGTAATTATCACAAATATCAACAATAAATACACTTTTTTTCATAGCACACGTCGCGACATGGCACACACACAGTCAGTCCGGAGACGCGGGGGAGACGCTTTTGTTTTTCCCACTAAACTGCAGTTTATGTTTAGGTTTCGATTTTGATTTAGATTTCGATTTGTTGTGTCGTCTCTATCTGTCGGTTGTCTTTGCAATACTGAGCCAGAGAGCACCACGAACGGATACGCAACGGATAGCGAAAATATAATAAAAATGTACTCGCACGGATGGAAACTCAAACGTTGACTGCGGCGACGGCAGCGACGGCAGCGACAGCAGCGGTAACGGCAACTGCGACAGCAACTGCGACAGCGACAGACGAGACTGTGATTCCGATTGCGAGCGAGCGCCGCAACGAACTGAATTGACTAGAGGTGATGATGGGTATGACGACTCTACTCTGCACCACTGCTGTGTGTCCCGGGGACTCGTCTCCGTCTCGTTGCTGCTTCTGCCTTTCCGGACAAATGGGAATATTCGTGCCAGTGGCAGGGAGGTCGTCCGGCATCTCTTTTTGGTTGGTTGTTTTGTGTTTTGTGTTTTGTGTTGTATTGGGTTTGGTGGTGGTTCGTCCATCCTCATCATCATCGTCGTCATCCTCTCATCCCAGTGATCGGGAGGACCGATGATGACTGTGTATCTGTGTATCTTCCCATAGCAAACAGCAGGGGATGAAAAGGAGAGCGAGAGCACGAGTACACGCAGAGAGAGAGAGAGAGAGAGAGAGAGCGAGCGAGTGAATCTGTTACCCTCTCTCATGGAGATGCTTCTCGCTCTCTCCCTCTCTCTCTCTGCACTCGCTCTCACTCGCTCTGGGAATCTGTGTCAGTTACGCAGAGGGGACCACAATCATTATTATTATCATCTCAGAACTTGGTTATTCTGATTCGAATTGCAGGCAGGCAGCTCCTAAGGGCAGAAAAAGGATACTCCGTACACAGAGAGAGAGACACACAGCTCTAGAGAGTGTGAGCGAGAGCGGGCTATGCCTTATTTACCCTCATGTCGCTGGCTGCTGCTGTTGCTGCTCAATTTTTCCTATCAGAATGCTGCTGGCTGCTGGCTGCTTGCTGCTGCTTCTCTATGTATCTTTGAGATACACAGACAGTCGTGAAGTTGAGGGAGGAGCCACGCAGCAGAGTCAGGATAATAGGGCGGGCACATCTTCGCATTCATTATGCGCATCTATATAGAACTATGTACAGACATATGTACCTATGTATGTATACATTATGTACATGGTAGATACAAAAGCGAGAGATACAGATGCAGATGCTGCTGCTGCTGCTGCTGTTGCTTCTCTTTCTTTCTCTCTCTCTCTCTCTCTCTTTGTTTGTTTGTTTGCGGTTCGCCCCACCTCTGCACTGCTCTTGGCACACACTCCCCTCCCCTGCCACCCTTTGCCCGTCAGACACTGGCAAGTTTCTGCTTTAGCTCGCGGTTGCCTCCTCCTCCTCCTCCTCCTGCATCCTCGTGTATCCTCGTTTTGGTTCGTTGTATTTTTGGGTTGGGGGCCCATGTGGGGCTCAGTGGGTTAGCTGCTGCCGCACTCCCCGCCCGCTGGGTGCTGCCCACCCTCCAGCAGGTCTGTTCCAAAGCGTGCGCAATAAGCACACATTAGGCTAATGGCTCTGTGTGTGTGTACGGCCTGCTTCTGTGTGTGTGTGTGTGTGTGTGTGCTGGACGCACGGGGGGCTATAATTGAAAGCGACGACGACTTTTAGCCCTGCGGCCTCTGCCATAAAGTGTGCCGCCGCCGCCGCCGCAGCCGTGGCTGCTTTCCTTCGCTTTTCCTTCCTCCACCTTTCGCTACGTTTCTGTTGCTCTTTTTTTCATGTTTCTCTGGCTGTGTGTGTGTGTGTGTGTTTGTGTGTGGTGTGGCTTGTGGGTGGCTCCTTTGCTGAGTGTGAGCTGTGGGCGCTGACAAGTACATGGGCTTTTTGGGCTTTTTGTTTGCAACTTAATTTTCTATCTGTCGTTAAAGTTTTTTTTCGGGGTTTATTTTGTGTGTTTTTTTTTGTGGCGCCAGACCCCAAGGAATTTGTGTGGTTTTTGGCGGTGAATAAGCCTCCACTTATGCAGAAAGCAGGGGGGCTGAGGCTACCAGTGGATGTGCGCTTAGATGACTGGCCATTGAGTAAGAGTTTTCGATGGATAAACAATGCAAATGGCGAAAGTGAGTAAACGTCAAGTTGGTAGAGGAAATTGAAGAAGGAAGTGGAGGAGACTTTATGGCGGAAAGGTATAAAAAAGTAAAATACAAAGCTGCAGCAACAAATGTTCCTAAGCGATTAACAGAGCAAAGATATGGCTCAGAAATGAAGAAGAAAACATTCAAAATTGGCCAGAAATGTTAACCAAGAATCCTAGAATCTGAACTTGTGTTAATAATACTGGCACTGACTCAAAAAATAATGCATAAGAGCAGCTTATTCTGTGATAATACTCGCATTATCTTTGTTCTGTATAACAAATGGAAAAGCATTGTTTAATACTCATGCACAATGTGAAGATTAACGAGAAGAATTATAATTAAAAATAAATAAAACGAAGATAAAATTGCATTTATATTTAAATAAAATTATGCGATGTCTGGGATATCTTTAGGCTGGCCAAAGAGCTTGCATTTATTGACACAGAAACTATCGGTAATAGATATGAAAAATTCAATTTAAATCAATAAATACTCTGCAATTTCAGGTGCTCCCAATGCTCTCTCCATCCTCCCAACTCCATCTTCTACTCAAGAATAAATACCTTTAATAACTCTTCAACTAATTTGATACCCAAACGTAATCTCTTTATGGAAACTTGCATTCCTTGTTCCAGCTCCGTTCCCACCATATCGCAACGGTCTAACCAAATAAATTGAGTGCTCGAATTGAATGCAAAGAAAGC